TAACTGTAACCAAGTACTTCCAGCTGCCTGTTTTTGCATTTGTTTGATAATGTCAAATTCCTTAGTGTGCAATAGATGGGGTACTTCCTTGTTTTCTTTTTTTGTAAGTTTTCCCTTTGACTTTTTCTTTTTGGAATTCTTTTTCGATTTAGTTTTAGCTTTGTTGTCAACCTTAGATTTGTTTTGAAAGGGGATTCCAAAGGTATTTATCTCAGGAATTTTAAAATAATCACCAGTTCGAGGCTTTTTAGTATCCTCATCAGAACTGTCCTCATCTCGTTCGTGTTTACCGAGATAAGCTTCCAGAAGTTGATTCAATAACTCTTCCTCATCACTATTGAGGTCATTATTATTTGTTACTTCAGCAAATTTAACTGGAGTGTTCTGATAATTATTATTCTGGTTATTGTTGCAGTTGTTGTTATTGTTTGAATTGTTATTATTATTATTATAATTATTGTTACTATTATTATTTCGGTTACGGTTATTACAGTTTCGAGAGATATGTTCTTCCTGTCTACAGTTATAACAAACAGGAGGGAGCCGTTCATTGCGAAAATTATTGTTGTTATTTTGATTATTGAAAGGCCGAATATTATTATTATAGTATTGATTACCTGAGTTATTTGAAGGAAAAGAGTTTCGGTTATTCTCCCATCGGTTTGTTTGGTTATTTAATTGATCAAGTTTTGAGCCAAATTGATTTGAAGTTTTTCAAATTTTTAGACAAGGTCATCCAAGTTTCCTTTTTCAAATTTTTCTTTCCTTTTTTTGGATTCCTTTCATTTTGATTTAACTTTCTCCTCGGACTCAAAGTCAAGTTCCTTTCGAGCCTTGCGAGGTTCTTTTCATTTCACTACATCTTCACCTGCTTCATACTTTCAAATAAGATCTACTGCAGTTGCGACATCAGTAAAATCGTTCATCATAATTATTGGTGTGAGCTCTGGTCGTAAACCTTTCACAAAATAACGCATTTGATCAGCAACTGGCATTTTGGCTATTTTATTAATTTTTCTAATAAGTCGTCTATGAGCAGCATAGTAAGTGTCAATAGCTTCGTCACTGTTTTGTCGTAGTTCCTCTAATTCTCGATGCCACTTGTTAATCCATCAGAAGGTACAAATGAATTCTTTAAAGGCTTGAAGCCATTTGGCCCAAGTGGTAGCAGTTGTCGTTTCACACCATTCCTCTGCGTTATCTCGTAAATGAGCTTTTAGCATAGTGACTTTTCGATTATTATCCCAATCATTTATTCGAGCGGCTTTTTCAAAATCCTCCATCCACTT